AACAAAAGATACAATGACTGATTGTCATGTGTATCTTGCTGGAAAGCACCCATTATGTTATTGTTAGGCTATGGTCTAATTCATGCTGACAACGCTCATGAACATCATTTGTCTTTGTTCAATATTTGACAAACAATAAGGATGAAATGATTTTTAAGCATTGTGAATGTGAATTAGACTGTGGTCTTAATTGGTGTTTACTGAATGATTATGCAGCTATGCAAGCTTGTCTAGGTAGAGCTTTATTTGACATAAATCTGCAAAGGATTAAATATCTATAATTTGTAATATTTTGATATTTGTTTATAAAAAGGAGTAATGAAAAAGCATACCGAGAACACAACTCATAATGCTCTTAAAAGCACAGCTTTCCATCACACTGTCTATTCTTTTCTCTTCGATGGTCTTTATCTGTACAGGTGCCAGCATTCTGGGGATTATAATGTTTTCTCTGAAACGTTGCTGATTACCAACGAGGAACAGGGCGATCTTGTCAAGGTCGGCGTCGCTCAGAAACACCTTATCGGCAGTCGCCGGTGGAATAGTCTTTGTCAGATCAACCGAATACATTTTTGTAATGTTTTACGACGATTTGAGCCCCGAAAATTTAACTTGCGTCACGTCACGACACGACAAGTACCAAAAAAACCCGCTGGCTAGAAAACTCATCTCGCCGCATTAAATCGGATAGTAACGGAGTGATCTAAAATGCGGATAAATTAAACGTCACGTCGCTCAAGTTTGGAATAAAGTCACGCATGTTGAAATTAAATTTCATTAAATCGACCAAGCACGAATGACAAATCATATACACCCGGTTGCAGACAACGTGTTTACCATACTTCCTAACCAAAAATTTCTCTGCCATGCCAAGGGATTAAAAATAGTCGCAATTAATATCGATATATATCGATAAAAAAGAAATATCGACTGATCAAGAATATCGATATTTTTCTTTGAAACAAAATTCAAATTATTTAATCAAGAGACGCAGTAGTGTCTCCGACCATGTTAAAAAAAAACTACTCTAGGGCCGGTATTCATAGTTAGATCTTATATTCAAGATCTTATATTCAAGACGTCTTAAGTACAGTCTTAAGTACTTAAGATGTCACGAACCAATCAGAGGGCCGCATTAGTGTCTTAAGACATTACTTAAGACAGTCTTGAAATAAGAATCGACTATGAATACCGGCCTAGGATTAAGTCCGGATCTACAATAGGTGTTTTAAGCCTAAGTCATAAGAAATGAGCGAATCACAGTCGATTATTCCCCTCGGATTCGACTGTAATTGGTCAATTTCATACAGCTTAAGTCTTAAAACACCTATTGTAGATCCGGACTAATAAAAATGAAAATGAAAGACGCTACAAGTCTCTTATCCCGGGCCACCAAAGTCCATTTTTGGGAGGTACAGAACTACTAAAATATAAAAAATTTTGAATCGCACGTAACACATCCTGAAAGGCGGCATCGCCACGAGTAAATTGCGACAGAGAAGAAAAAGAAGAAGAAGAAGGAGACGTTACTTTATTTTTCACGAAAACCATCACCGCTTGTATGTCCAGAACGGCTTCACCGACTTTTATTTTTTTTTTGCGCAAATTACTCGTGGCGATGCTGCCTTTCAGGATGTACCTCTCTTTTCTCTCACCTTTCACTCATACCTCCCCCAACTTTGACCAATTCCACCCCCTTACCTTCCACACCCCATTACCTTGACAATATATGTTACGGTCAGCGTCATCGGAGTTGAATTCTCTATTTCATTTTTAATAACTTTTTAATGTAATATGGGTGACTACTAAACCTTCCGAAGGTTGCAGGAAATGTAGTGGGAAAACAAGTACGTTTACCGCAGGTCTATGTTGAGTAATAATTCCAGATTGAAAAAAAGGAATAAAATTAAGTAAAAGTTACCGAAATGTTTAAAACACTTATGAAAAGGCTATCCAAAGTTTGAATTTTTATAGTTAAGAATCTTTCCATGATTCTTATTTTATGAATCGTCTGACTGAATAACTAATTGAAAAGGAACATTTTACGCAAATATATTTGTATAAAAAATGCAGGGATGGGAAGTAAAGTAACGCCATAAATTTTATCATTTATAAAAACGACTTGATGACGACTTCATTGCAACGATAACTGACTATACTAATTTTGTGCTAAGCTTGGAAAAGTTACTTTGAGAGGTAACTCTTAACTATTACGTGTTTATTTACTGAAATAATTTGTTATGAGTAGTCCTAAAAATAAAAAATCTACTTAATTTTAATGAGCGTACGTCGGTCCCGATTTCGAGTCAAGGAACCTAATCCCTATAACTCGGGACTGGACCACGTGCGATCTCTGAAAGGCGATGGAGTACGAGGTCGTTTTTGGTTTTTTAAAATGAAAGGAGAGCAATCATCTTAACAATATTCTAATTTATTACTAAACATAAATTACAGCTTAACAATACGCGCTTAGAAGTAATAAATTATTTCTATAGTTTTTATTGTAAAATTTAATTTTATATTCATGTTACAACTCGGTTATCTGTACGTTACAATAAATGATTTCTCAAAAATCGCTGGCCGATTGTAAAATAATAGGAATATTTGTGCCGCTAGAGAATGTAGACATAGTGCGAGCGTGAGTCTATATTTGTATATATATGGTGAGGCGATACATGTTGGTTATTGAATTTCTTTAATTATGACAGTGGAATGAGGGAAAAGGTCATTGAAAAGATCGATCGGAACTAGGTAAGGAAAGGGGGAACTAGGAATGAATACTGGAATGTGAGTTCCAGGAGGTTGTCTGGCTATGGCAGCTCGGATTTCTTCAGGATCGAAATAGTCAGGGCCGATGGTGTAGGTGCCCTGCGGGAGAGGATCGGTGGTGCGATCGAAACGGTTAATCACCGAGTCGAAGGTGTCACCAGGATAGATAGGAAATCGGTTGCGCTGGGGGGGAGGAGGTGGAAATTCTTCCAGAATTTCCACGCTTGATGTGGAATCAGCAGGAGATGGTGGACGAGGTGACGCTGGAGCGGAGTGGAGAGGGAAGTCGGGAGTGTGTGTTGGAATGTCGGGAAGTAAGTGCTCCGTCAATGCGTCTGACAACGCGGGTGACGGAGATCGCAGGGAA